GAACGGAAAAAAAAATGTATAAAAGAAGTAATGTAGGAAATATGCTTCAAAGACTGGGGAAAAAAATCTGTCAATGACTTGCTGAAGTGCACGAAAACCGGCCATGTATTGGACCCGGAAATAACGTCTCTCTCTCTCTCTCTCTATATATATATGTGTGTGTGTGTGTGTAAAGTATATTATATATTATTATGTAAAGTATAATATTATACACTATAATATAATATAATATAATATAATAGCAGTGTGATAAAGTAATGATCTTATAGGATTGCTAAAATCGTGCAGTGTATCCTGGGCTTTAGGCTTACGAAGCTTTTGGGAAACGCAGCCCTGGAGTAATCGTAAAGGCCGAAGAGCATCGTTGTCTGGAACGCAGCATTAGGTTAACATTTCAATAAACGAGCGTGTACTACAATTACAAACCATTCTCTAAGGTGACATTTCAGCACTTGACAAACGGATAGCGGCTACTAAGTAGCACTTAAAGCACAGCTATGTGCGATTGTGTTAAGTGCATTTTTGGGAAACGCACGTGAAACAATAACGAACGATCGTAAAATCACTTGTAGAAAACGCTCTTAAGCGCTAAGATCAATCGTTATTGGGAAACCCGGCCCAGTACAGTTGACCGGAAATGACTGAGCTGGCTTATCTAAAACCAGGAAGTAATCGTGCATATGGTCAATTCCGAGGGAAAACCGTGGACTTGGCAACACTGAGTGGAGGTGACGTATTTCCTGTTCGAGAGTGGAGCTCCACTGGCCCACGGTCTGATGACTCGTAGAAAACGCTTTTAAACTCTAAGATCAATCGTTATCGAGAAATGCAGCCCTGCCTAAAGCCTGGGATACACTGCACGATTTTTGGCTGTCCCAGACGAAAGATTGCCTCCGTGAAGCAATCGTGGCTCTTAATCGATAGTCCTATGTCATACAGTGAGAGAGGTTCAAAGACGGGCGTTTTCCCGGTCTTGCGACCAAAGATAGCCTACGATAGTTTTCTGACAGTGTCAGAAATTCAGCATGATCAACGCACAGTGTGTTTGCTGCAACGACCTGCGTCTACTCAGCAGCCAATGAAATTGCAACATGAAATGACGTATTGATCCAGGAGACCAGCGGCGCTACAATTTAAATGCCATGGAGGCAAAAAAAAGTAGAAGGCATACTGGTATGTGGGATACCCATAAAGAACAAATTCTTGTTGAGTTGTGGCAGCAGAGGGAATGTTTGTACGATGTGTCCTCTAGCTGCTATCATGACCGCACCAAAAAGGACATAGCATGGAAGGAGATAGCGGAGGAACTGCAGCTGCCAAGCTCCCTGTGCAAAACTGGCATCCCAAGTTGTCCTCTTTTCCCAAACCATGAGCGGGTCCATATTGCATTCTTCTGCCGGCGCCTCTTCTTTGTTTCAGCACACATGAAAAGCACAACTGCCAAAGTGCGATCCATCTTGATGTACCGGTATTTGTTTACCACTAGCACATGCTGATGACATTGCGCTAACGTGTGTCGCAGCCGTTGCAGCCTACGATTCAATAGGTGTCATCATCGTACAGTCTACATGCTTGTCGTACCCAAGTTTAAACGCTTTTTCTTATTTGTAAGTCGCTTTGGATAAAAGCGTCCGCTAAATGACTAAAAGTAAAAGTAAAGTAAAGTAAATATAAATTAAAAAAAACCCCACTGATTTCGGCCCGAAGGACAGCGTCACCTGAATTCACAAATCACGGAGAATGATATTCGGTATTATTTGCATGTCTATGACAGCGCACTGCGTATTTATAGCCAAAATAAATCTGAATATCAAACCGCAAACTATCTTTACTGCGGTCTGATACCGGAGCACAAAGGAGTTTGAGGAGAACTTTAACGCTTAGAGCACATATGTATAAGCTACCTTACAGCAGACTAAACATTTTCTGAATAAATGACAATAAAGTTGAATTCTTTTATTATCGGAACCTTACTCAAGTCCTATGTTTCATTCAGGACTCTTCAGACCGACGCACCATCACACATGCATTTCTCCCTGTGATGCGGTTACCTGAATGTATAGCAGAAATAAATGCGTCTGTTGATCTCCAGTGGATGTAATCGCTGATCACAGAAGTGCTCGTCTGAGTTCCCCCCCAATATATTTAACGTTGTGTAACGGGTATTATTTTCTGGTGGAGTGTCCTTGACCGTTTCTTGTAATGCGACTCACCCTGCGGGCGTTGATTTCTCATGGACGGGTGGCCCGTCGGATAGGACTCGGACCTGAGTCCAGAATCAACATGCTTCGGAACATACTCACTGGTCTGGTTCGACACGAGAGAATAGAGACAACAAGAGCCCGAGCCGACGAGGTTCGCTTTTACGCTGAAAAGGCAAGTAACGTTACAAACCCCCGCTTCAAGTTTCATCTTGCTTTTCCTATATCTGGTAATTTTCAATCGGGCATTTTCGACTAGCTAAAATCTTGAAAAATAAAACGGCGTCTGTTTCATTTATGACTTCTGATAAATATTTTAACGGAGAATTATTATTTGATTATAATGTAAAAATCACAAGATTCCTCAGACTGTCACTCTGCTGCTCTGTCTGCCACGAGATGCGCTCCTGTCACTATTCTTTTCCATTATAATTAAATATGCTTATAAATACATTTTCTTGCCATTTAAGACAAGTCAACAACTATATAATATTAATATAAAATATTATTGAAATATTGAGGTTACGTTAAAATTGCCACAACAGTGAAATTCTGGTAAATGCAGTGGTGGACGAAGTACACAAATCAAGTACTTGAGTAAAAGTATAGATACGTAATGTAACATTTTAAAATATTAGGAAAAAGCAGATTGAAATGCAGTTAAGTTTACATCGATTTTAATGTGCTCTTTAAAACTAGAACGATTGTTTTGTTTTTATTTTGACTTTTAAGATGTTGTTTGTTTCCTTTTAGCTGATTGGTTATGCTAAAAAGGGAGATACTAATGAAAAGTCAATGAAAATGGCTGATTTCTGGCTCACGGTAAGTTTTCGTTATGTTTTTCAATATGTCATCCATCCATCTTCTATATGTATATTTATTTATATTTCTCCATTCAGGAAAAAGATTTGATTCCCAAACTTTTTAAAGTTCTGGCGGTAAGATTTGAGAATCAAACGGGTGGATATACACGCATGGCTCGCATTCCTAACAGGGAGAATCTGGACCGTGCGGCTATGGCTGTCCTGGAGTATAAAGGCAACCCTTTCCCACCCTTGTTCCCCATGAAACGTGTCAGTGAACTCAACTTGTTAAACCAACTTCTGAAAGCATACAGAGAAGAAAAAGCTCAAATGGTGTCTGAGAAAAAGGACTTATGATCTTTAATCACTGTATTTGTACATTATATTTAATGTAATAAACCAGTATACATGTCATTAAAATCTCTTTAAAATTTGTTCTCAGTGTTGTGTATGGTTAGTTGATGCTCAAGCATGTTCATTACTTTTTAAATCAATATATTCAAAATTTCTATGACTTTATATATGAATTTGTATGATATATGAATAAGATGTACTGTAACTGGTCACAAACTTTTTCCCCCTCCGTTTTTAAGTATTTTGTCTCCACTACATTTCAAATGGTCCTAAAGAATGGTCAAAGTGAATTTTTGAAAATACAAATATTCCATATCTCTCAGCTAATGAGATTATTTCTCATTCTGGACACATTACAAAAGAATTAAAATAATTTTGTATAGTGTGTTACACAGCAGAACAAATTTAACAATAGTATTTCATGTCAACCAACTCTTTAAATTTGCCCGTTTCTAAAAAAAAAAAAAAAATTCTATATTAAACTGGTCACGGATTCTTAAGTACAAGAAACAAAAACAAAATATGTAATAAGGTATTATTTTGGATTAATCTGTAAACCAATATTACTCCCTGCTTTAATTTTCTCTTGTTTTTCTTGTTTTGCCAATATACTGTAGGTCAGCATGGTCAGATATAAAAATGAGTCAAATGTTGATTAGAAATATTGAAAAACCTAGGATTCACTTTGATGAATGAAGGAATTAGTTTTTAAATGTTTTTCAGACCAATGACAATGATTTGTTCAGCAGTTGATTGTACTTCAGAGTTGTAGGATTACCGTTACAGTATATCCCTTTATTACTAATCAAACTGCAAAATGAAACGCATAAACTAGCCATTGTAGTAAAACAGACCATTTTAATTTGGCAAAAAGGGTATGCACTGCCAAGTCATTTGACACTATTAAAATGCATTCAGTATGAACAGTGCAACAGAAATGTGCTTAACTAAATCTTTCTGTGCTCCCCAATGTGATGTGCTAATATCTATCATATATTCAAAAAGTGTGCTAACTCTTCTCTGCTAGGTGTGCACACTCACTTAGATGGAAAAATCATGGCAAAGCCTTTTAAGATCACCTTTTCTGGTGACTTCCAGACAGAACAAGTTCAGTATTTATTAAAGAAATGGCTTAAGGCCCAAGCACATCCATTAATACAAAAAATCAAACCACGGGAACCTATATTTCATGATTCTTCAAGTATGGTTCTTGTTTTGTTTTTTTTAAATAAAAAACTAATATAAATATGTCATTAATATGTAGAGTTATAGGATTACATTTAAAGCAGGTCAATTTCAGATGGAGATTATATAGGATATGTTGATATATAACACAAACATGACTCACAACTGGTTGGTTAAAAAAAAAACAATACAGCCGTGATAATGGATATTTTACAGATAAAACCTTCACATTTTACCTGTATATCTGTCTTTCACTGTATTGCATTATGCTTGCATTTTCAAGGGTCTCTGATGGTAATGAAGTGTTTAAAAACAGTAAAGTGATCCATGCAGTCAATACAAAGTGTTTCTGTAGGAGTAGAGCTATATTTTCATCATACTCCAAGTAAACAAACCTTATGATAATCCCAGCAGACTGAATGAATCTACTTTCTACTCACTGACAGAATAAAAGATCTACTCACAGAATAAAAATCTCCATATCCACTGAAGACCGCTGTGAGTGTTATTAAACATACAAATGTGTAACGAAGTTTGCAGAAATTGAATCTGAACTCTGAACTGTTCAGAGTTTTTGAACTCCACACACCCCTGCACGGGGACTGGACAATACAGAAAGACTGGGATAAAGATGAACGTCATCATTCATCATCCGCTTGCCATAAATATTCTCTACATACTGTAACTGTAAACTGTGTACTGCATACAAAATTAAGACTGCTAGTTGTGAAAACTAGGCACACCCAAGATTACACTGAATATATCAGAATGTAGACAGAGCACAGACATGCATGGTTTACAAATACTAGTTGTTCCACAGTCAACTTGCCTTTGCAGTTTAACATCAGTTTGCAAAGTCTCTAGCTGTATTCAATGTGAATAAAAATATATAAACCCTAAATTATCTCAACTTTACAGACAAAATGTGTACATAAATTCTCAAAAAACAGTTAAAAAAAATTTAGTGAGGGAGATGAATACTTGGTTCTGTTGCATTAAAATGGCATGGAAATACAAATATTAACAGCACCACTTGAAATAAACGAAGCATTCAAAAATGTGTCAAGAGCTCACTACTGTTACTGTACATCTCTAGCCTACTGTCACATTAAGCTTGAAATATCTATACTATAGATTCACCATTGTCTCCTGTCACTATTGCACTGCTTGTATATTATCTCTCTCCAGTGACTCTCATCTCACTGAATTATTTATTGCTTATTTTTTAGGAGCTGTGTGACCAGGTTATACCCCACTCTCTCTTGACGTTCTGCAGCTTGCATTTCTCTTTACAAATTCAAAGATATGGATGTTTAGTAACTTTTTTGAAAATGGCTTTACTTTTTCACGCTTGCCTTAATCTAATCTATTGAAATAATTAACTCTTTTCCACCTCATAGATGTTTGAAGGTAGTTTCCGCATGGCCCGTTCCTCTATGGCCTGCTCTAGGCTTTGGAGCCCATTCCCGTGGCCCCTTGCATACTAAAATACTCGGTGAAGTGGGACGTTAATCTAGGAGGAGGGGGAGAGTGTGCAGAGCTGCGTGGTGGTATGGGAGGAGGAAGAGGGGCGAATGTAGATGACAGGTCCGCTGTTGTGGTGATGATCTTGTGCTCGCTGTTCCTTGGCACTTCCTGTCCCTTACGAGCCACTGTCTCATCTATCGTCTTCACAGGGTCCTCAGTAGGGAAACATGAGATGGACTATATGAAATAACACTATATGAAAGTACTCTTAAAACAACAGCTCACCCAAAAATTAAAATTTACTCACCATGAAGCCATTCAGTATTTAGAGGAGTTTGTTTCTTTTCTTGGAGAACTGATTTGGAGAACTGTAGAATTGCATCACTTGCTCACCAACGGATCCTATGCAGTGAATGGGTGCCGTCAGAATGAGAGTCCAAACAGCTGATAAAAACATCACAATAATCCAGAAGTAATCGAAACGACTCCAGTCCATCAATTAACGTTGTGTGAGAAATTTTTTTGCGTGTTTGTAATAAATCCATTATTAAAGCATTTTTCCATTCAACCAATTGTTCCGGCCAAAATAACATTTTGTTTTCACTTGTCCAATGAAAAAGTCCATCCCCTGTTATCCTCTTGCATCAAAATCCACCGACATACTGTATTTGTTTAGTTTTGGACTGTTTTCATTTGTAAATATGAGCATATTTCTTTCTTGATTCAGATGAGACAACTTTTTCACTTGAGAAAGCAATATTATGGATAGTGCATTTTGGACTCGTATTTTAGCCAGAAGCAACGGTCGCAAGTTAAAAATGTCCTAAAGATTGGTTTGTTTATTACAAACATGCAGCTTAACAAGACGTTAATTGGTGGACTGGAGTTATGTGGATTATTGTGATGTTTTTATCAGCTGTTTGAACTCTCACTTTGATGCAGTGGATCCAATGGTGAGGAAGTGATGTAATGTAAATTTTGATTATAAATTTCTTCAAATCCATTCCAATGGATGTCAAATCTTGGATGGCCTGAGGGTGAGTAAATTTTAAGCAAATTTTCATTTTTTGGGTGAACTATGCCTTAAAAATAAAGGTTCTTTATTTATTCTCTATGTTTCACAAATAGCCTTTCCATTGCACAGGTTTTTTTTTTATAGTGGAAAAAAGGTTCTTTAGATTTTTTAAATGTTCAACACACTTAGCATAAATGGTTCTTTTAACCAAAAATGATTCTTCGATGGCACTGCTGTCCCAAAAAACCTTTTTGGAAACTTTATTTAAAAAGCTGCCCAGCCTGATTATTTTATCATCAAAATAAGTTCACTTATATTCAAATCAGTTTTTTTTTTCATTCCCATCTATAACATCTAATACTCACTGTGTGGATAGAGAAGAGCTCTGTGAAGTTTGGCTGAGAGTCTCCCAGGAAGGAGCTATTCCCATAAGCATGATGAGGGAAGCTTTCTGCCCCCATGCCTTTAGGACTGGAGAGAAGGATTCCTATCTGGGACGTGCGCACGTGGTAGGGAAAGTTCTTATTGGCTGCTGACGGACGTGTGATGGCCTAGAATGACAGGATTAGTCACGCAGGGTGTTTTATCATATTACTTGCTTAAATAAATGAAGTAACAATAAACAACAGCAACAAAAAAATCATACCAGGAAGACGACATGGGCATAGAGATGGATGCCGAGTTGGATGCCGTTCACAATCTTTTCCCTGGCCCAGCGAGAGATGCCAAAGTTGGCAATCAGAGCCATAACTGGCACAGCAAAAAACCTACGCGTGAAAAAAGTCATGGATAAAAAGAGGAACAGGCTTTATACTGTCAATCTGCTTTACAACTTTACAAAGGCTTTGGAGAGCGTGGAGTCAAAGCAGAGAAAACAGTTTCAGCCTAGTCTCATGAAAAGACAAATGTGACTATGTATACATTTTTTTGAGGAAAGTTTAAAAAGTGTTTTTCTTTTGAGTTCACGTTTCCAATGATTCAAACCCATGCCTTTGATACTCTCAGACACCTTACGTGAGGTGTTGAACAAAATTTTTAACCTAGAAAAGTTCTTGCCAAAGCTAAATATTGTATTTGTAATAAATGTGACTATTTTGTATGATGAAAGCATATTGTACAATAAGTGGCATTTAGGGCACTATTAAAGTTACGATGCAACAAAAGTAATGTCACATATTTTGTTTCCGTATTTTGACGTGCATCCAAGTGAAATGGATTACGGAAAAAGAACAAAATGTAGGAAAGGGACTTTTTTTATTCTCCGATTGTTGTTTCGATTGTAAGAAAGAGGTGGGGTTTAAGTGAACTATATAATTGGAGAAATCTGACAAGTTGACAACATTTTAAATAAAAAAGTACCAAAAATAAATAAATAAATAAACATGCACAGATTAGTCAATAAGATAAATAACACACATTTAGAAAACATATAGGGTGAATTTTCATTTTTTAATTTCATGCTGAATGAAATGGGAGTAAAAGTGCTTTTACCGCACTTGCATGTGGAAACAGATAAACTGTATCAAAACAGTAGGCTTGTAACAATTTATGTTCCCTCTTGCACATTAATGTTTTTTCATCAAATAAATTAAATCAATGGAAAAATATAATAACATAAGCTTCTGGTTTTGTATGTTCATAGCTACATATACTATTTTATATTCTATAGGTTTATGTTAACCTTATGGCAAAACTCACCATAGAGTATACGCAGTGAAGAAGGGGATGTAGAAAGGTTGTTTTTCAGGGTAGTGTTTGAGGGACACCAGCACAGCGTAGCAGAACCATACGTAGGCAAGCAGCTGCAAACCCATTAGACCGTACCCTGCAGGGCTGTCATAAGCATACAGCACCTCGCCTGGATCAAAGAACTGCAAACACACACGCAGTGGGAGTGGGAACAGGGAAATCACCCTTGGCAACCCATCTGTATGACTGATGGTTTTAAAACCGACCATGGCACAATCTGTTAGACTGGATAAGTGGAAACTGGCGAAACATTCCTCAAATCCAGACATCTAAAGCTGCATTAGAGCAAAAGGTGACATTGACACAAGATGCAACAGGAGCTCTTCAAATGCTACCGCAAGAGCTTATCTGGGTCATTCTCTATACCTGTCTTTCTCTCTCTCTATCTGTCTGTCTATCTGCCGGGTTCCATTACACCACGCTACAGCATCACGACATGCTCATGCTGAGTAACTTCATCTCGCAGCCTTACATTATGTATAGAGTGGAGTAGCTCTCGGGTGCAGCATGAGAAACTGCAGCTGAGAGTGCTCAATCATGATGAGTTTTTCCAATCACGAGTCACCATTTCAACTAAATTCATTGTAGCAAATTATATTCAAAAGTTTTATGAAAAACTAAATTACAATAAAACAGTTGACATTTTTCCCACACGTTTTTAAAAAACTGAACAAAGGATACATTATATTGTGTTCATTCAATTTACAGTGTATATTGCCAGCAAAACCATCAGAAATGCACAAAGTTTGGGGTCGGTAACCTTTTTAAAATGTTTTTGAAAGAAGTTTTTATACTCATTTATTTAAACAAAAATAAAGTTAAAGATTTTTATTATTTTACAACTGTTTTCTATCTTAATATATCACATGATCCTTCAGAAATCATTCTAATATGCTGATTTGGTGCTCAAGAAACATTTCTTATTTAAAAAAAAAAAACGCATTTATTTGAAATAGAATCACCCTTACAGAAAAGTATAAATTTTTTAAGTATTTAAAAGTATTTAATTTAATTTTCAGAAAAAAATAACCCTTATTGACCCCAAACTATGAATATTCAGCTTATTGTCTGCTTAAAAGAAAAATGTTAAGATCTTACTTCTGCTTCATATATGAAGAGGATGATGTAGGTGATGGTGTATATTGTCATATAAATGGATAGTTTCACAGAGCCACTGTGACTTATTCTTGCCCTGGAAATCAAAAAAAGAGAGAAACATTATCACTACCGTATGTCATCTTCTATGAAAACATGGGTCAAAAGACATTTGTCAGATGTTGGATCCCCTGCATACCTAAAGAACATCAGCATCAAACGTAAGCTCATCCTTGAATTCAGTACATACTTGAATTTGGATACAGATTTGTCTTGACATCTGGGTCACATTAGAGTGATTAGCCTTGTAAGTCATTACCCACATTATGTGAGAAGTAAGGCCTCCTACCTGGTGACTGTGAATCCCTTCCCCAGGAGAACCAGCATGAGCAAGAAAATCAGGAAGCTCACAGAAAAGAGTGATTTCCCTGGTGAGAGGAAGACAGCCACAGAGAGTTACACAGGTGACCACAAGTAGGTTGCGAATCAGGTCAGCATTTAAGAATGAATCCAGTCACAAGCACACAAATGTGTGATGCTAAAATCCAGTATGTTTAGATACTGTATTGTAATACTGTTTAGCACAATTTTATAATACAATATTTGTGGTTCAATCAAATATTTTTACAAAACCCTTTTCCTTAAAATAGAGGAAGATGTGTACATTGAAATTAAATGTTAGGTAACTTGTCTATAGAAAAAGATTGGATTGGAGAGAAAAATAATAATTTCAACTTTATCATTATTTCATGTCAATACATGCATTTACATGCTAAGTAGTTGTGTAAAAAAAATCAAGATAATGTACAGTCAGCTGGTTATTATAAATTAAAATAAAATAAACCTTCAGAATGACACAAGACCACCCAATAAGGGTTTCTTTTGCGATAATGAGCATCTGACTGTATATTATCCTCTACATACAGTGTTTTTCTCACCTAATATCTTGAGGCTGCCATTCCCAACACCATCTCTGGCATAAAGGCCCCAGTAAATGCAAAAGAAAAGCAGGCTTAAGACTGAGAGAAAGTAATCAGAAAGTAAAAGAACGGATGCCAGAGATAAGAGAGAATAGAGAGGGAGAGATAAGTCACAGTAGCAGCCGTGAGAGCACAGAGGAAGAAGTTGAATGTGGGGAGGAGATAAGGATGAAAGAAAGAAGGGATGACACAAGAGATATTGTTATGCATCCAGTGTCATAAAAAAAGTGTGTGCTTGTGTTTATCTATATGAGTGTGTGCAGTGGCCTTACTCACCCTCCACTCCAGCTGCAGTCATAAACATCTTATAGGTCGTATGGAGTAGCTGTCTTCCCTTTAAATTATCTTAAAGAATTACACAGAAGAAGAGATTCAGGGGAAATGAATTACTAATGCAGAGAAACTAAGAAAAAAGAAGAATCATAGTATCTGTATGTTCGTTTATCTGGCAAAAAATATCCTTTAATTTAACACTGAATAATAAGACTTGCACATTACTGAGACCAACACATTTGAGGTCTTTTATACCTCAAGGACATGGAAACTCACAAGCAAAATAACAAGACAGTGTAAACACAAGGGCGAAAATAACCAAAAACGTGATGTCTGTCTCCAGGATGCCTGAAACACATAAACAGAAGAAAAGAAGAACAGTATTCAGTCACAATCTAAGCATGATAAATGTCTTGAAGTAATTGTTCGCCCAAGAATTCTCATCGTTTACCCGCTCTCATTCCAAACCCCTGCTGTACAACTTTCTCAGAAAGTGAAATTTAGCTGAATGTTCACACTGTTCTTTTCCATACAGTATGACTTTCCATTACAGTAAATGGTAACCAGGGGACAAAATATATTATTATTATTACTATTATTATTATTTAATTCACATATTAAATAGAATAGTGAACATTGCAAAATTATTAGCAGAACTAAAAGACAAATCAATGAAATCTTCACAGCACTTTTAGTCAGCAATGAAACTTTTATCTGTTTCTAACCTAAAGCTGTTGTATAACTTTAAAGACTTGAGGTGTGTCCCAATTCGCATACTTATGAATTATTCTATGCCGTTTTGTAGTATAAATAGTGCGAGTAGTGTATACACACTGAAAATTCCAAAAAGAAAAAGTGCACTTTAAATAATCAGATGAAGTGTGGAATGTTGGACACTTCATGTACTCAACTGTCACAGCTTTAATTAGCGGAGGGGGAGGGGCTATCAGACTCTGATTATAAATGACAAAATAACCTTATACAATTCACACACTACACGGTTGAGTGCATAGTAAATAAGCACATAGTGTACAGTGTACAGCATTTGGTACACAGCTTTGGAATATAGTGCAAAATTTGTGTAGACTATTTGGAAGTTGTTGTTTTTTTAGTCATTTTGGAGCTTCAAAACCCCGGGCCCAAGTCACCATTCACTTTCATTTAAGAAGAAAAAATGATATAGATTTGAAAAACATTGAGGGTGAGTATTATTTTTTTTTATCCTGGAAAAAAATTTATCATGGTTTTCACAAAAATATTAACCAGTTTATTTAACAGTGATAATAAGAAATGTTTCTTGAGCACCTAATCATTAGAAAATACCATTAAAGGAAAAAAATTACATTTTATGTAATTTATATTAAACAATATAAACAATGTAATTCATATTAAACAATATATTAAACGGTTATGTTAAATTGTAATAATATTTCACAATATTAGAGTTTTTACTGTATTTTATTTCAATAACTGTATCCTTGGTGAGCATAAAAGACTTCTTTTAAAAACATTGAAATATTGTACTGACCCCACACTTTTGAAGGGTAGTATATATAATGGATATATTTTGTCATGCTCTTACATCATACAAAATAAATTCCTCCCACTTTCAGTCATGTCTCACCAAACTCATCTGCAGAGAAATGCTGGGTCCAGAAGGACTGTCCATTGGTTAATGTCATTTCATATTCCAGCTGCAGCCCATCTCCCTGTTGTTGCATGGCGAAAGAGAAAAAGAGGGAATTCGGAGGAGAGAAAACAGAGAGAAAAAAAGTGAGTGGGGAGGTTCAGAGACCATATAAACACTGAGTGCACAAACAGATCTTTGGGCTATAAAAGACTTCAAAGCAGCACAGTTTCTAGCTGTTGAGAGGATTTCGGCCCGGCTTAATAAAAGAGAAAGACTTTGATTTCACTTGGCAGGAAAAAAAACATTCCCTCTCCCGCACTCCAAAAAGGTGAGGTGCATGAAGCATGCCCAAATCAATGTGGCCAGAGATGGAGAGGAAAGCGAGAGAGCAGGACAAAGATATAGAGCTGGAGAGGGACAGAGAAAAAACCGTGAGATACAAAGAGAATGAGCATAAAAGGCTGAAGTGAGTAATCAAATGACTGTAACAGAAGTTACGAGATACAAAGGTATAAGACTGGCCAATGAGAAAGGAAGCATGAGATAGAGGAGGAAAAAAAATCGTCAGCAGACGCAGAGAAGCTCTATTAGGGACTGTGCTCAGAGACGATGGTTTACTTCAGTCCAACAGGATTTAACATTACATCCATCAGTCTGCCTCCATCCATGAAACATCCCTTTACATTTTGCCCCCATTTATCTGGATAAAATCCTTTCACATCGTGTACCTCTCCAACACTACATGTGCATCACTTCAAGCAGCTACAACAAGAATCACTCACTGCCTCCTGAAGATGGTCCAATCCAGAACTGAGCCTCTTTTTCTTAAAAAAAACATCCCTTTAATGACATTCCTTACAATCAGGTCAAATAATTACTTGCCATGTTTCCATGTTTGCAGACTTGAGTGCATTTGGATTGTACAGTTATTAGTCATGTAGGAACATGTCAAAAAACATATATTGTAGATGTATCATAGAATGTCTTTTCAAGCAAATATTTTATTATCATGGGACTATGTAAACCATTATCTGTATATCTTTCCTTATCTGTTGCAATGTCAAAATGATCTGTATCCAAATGGAATTGAATGTGGTTGAGCTTCAACCAGAAGTATGTCAAAACAAAGTAAAAAGCACATTTTTTTATGTAATTCTATTCAATTTAGTTTCCATTTAGCAAACATATAATTCATCATATTATTTTAATATTATAGAATTTATCAATATTTTGAATTAGCTTTTATTTTTAGATTTTCAATTTCTGTTTTAATTTTAGTTAATTCTATTAGTTTTTATCTTTCTATTTAGCTTTATTTATTATTATTTCAGTTTTAGTCATTTTAGTACTTCAACTTACATTTATTTTCTTTTACTTAGCCAAGGCAACATTTAAGTTTTTCATCTAATATTTATATTTTACTTTATTAAAAAGTGTTTTCGTTGATAGAAATAAAGCTGAAATAGTTTTAGTCAAAAATAAAAACACTGTTCAGAATGTTTAAAACATTACCATAAGCTGATTTTTATTATCTATGTTTTTAATAGTTGTGTTTGAGTCCCTCAATTGTCCTCAGTGTGAAAAGATGGATCTCAAAATCGTACAGTCACTGCTGGAAAGGGTTCAAATATGCAAAAGATGGCACAAACTTTTGAATGGGGTTATTTTTATAATTTCAGCTATTTTTTTTCTTGTGGACTAAATGTAAACATCTTTTATGTCAAATATCTTACTCAGGACAGTACTAAATAAAAAATAACATGCATTTTGTATGATCTCTCTTATTTTGTTAAAATTATTCACATTTTCACAGATTCTGCAAGGGGTTCCCAAACCTTCGCATGCCACTGTATGTATGATATGGAATCTTATTTTAATGTTTGAATTTCTCAGAAGCTCACAGTAAAAGGAGAGGGCAACATGGGCAACCGATTTGAATGTCACACAATTCTTATTTTCATTCACAAGATACAACTTTAATCAGAGGCTTCACAGACTAACCATTATGTTGTTTGAAATGCTCATTAAAACTTTTGTTTTACCCTTGTAATTCTGTATAATTTGGTGCAATTAGTTATTCATTCTGTTGTCATTAATCATGCCTTCCTGAATACAGTAGTCTGCTTCAGGCACATTCCTAGTCCCTAGTATATTGTTTACTGTATCACCACTCACCCCACACTTGCTGAGAGCAATGTACCACCATCTCTCTCTGACAGAACGAAAACTTCGACCTCCTACACAACTCAGCATCTCTTCATTACCTTCGCCTTCCACCTGACAGAAGCAGACACAAAGACATATGATTATAAAGAGAAGCAACTCTTAATTGTGTAATAGTTTATCACTGATTCAACAGAGAATGGTTATAATTTATTGTTGATGTGTGTAATTTCTTTCCTTGTTCTATCTCAGTTCAATATGCAGAGACACAAGTGAGCCATTAATCAAAATATGTAAATACTGAAGCATGTTTAATTATGTTTGTTTGAATGAGCTCAACCAATGGCAGACAGGGGATGTGTTTGGGAAACCAGTTTGAAAACAATTATTTTTGGCGGTGCGAGTGGTGCAGAATAGCAATTTAACTGTTATACTATAACCATACTACTTCAAGCCTAAAGGACACATACACGCAAGCACACAGACTATATATAAATAGCTTTTTTCTTACCATACAGCCAGACCAGGTGTAGCGGGTGGTTAGGTTGATGACCTGGTTATTTTCAGGCCTCAATACTGACTCTTTCAGGTAGCAATCCTGTAGAGCCACATAAACCATCCATTAACAAACATGCTCTCCATGGGATTTTAAAACACCCTACAACAATAACAAAAGCTGAAGTACTAAGTAGCAGATTAGTACTGGAGTAGTGTGATGAAAAGCAGGGGCTTCCTACAAGCACTTTTTCATAGAGTCCCGCAATGCAGATCCTGCCACGGGGAGGGAGAAAATGTGCTGTATTGAAATACGCACATGCACCGACACTCGTGTCTTTTTGGAGACTGGATTTGGACTTTTAATCCACAGAACACTGCTGACATTTCTTCTTTAATCCTCATACTTTCTATTGATGCGTAGCTGAAGTACTAAGTAGCAGATTAGTACTGGAGTAGTGTGATGAAAAGCAGGGGCTTCCTACAAGCACTTTTTCATAGAGTCCCGCAATGCAGATCCTGCCACGGGGAGGGAGAAAATGTGCTGTATTGAAATACGCACATGCACCCTTTTTTGGAGACTGGATTTGGACTTTTAATCCACAGAACACTGCTGACATTTCTTCTTTAATCCTCATACTTTCTATTGATGCGTAACGCACACATTCGTACTCTCTGTTTGTTCATGCGCACACATGCAGTCTGTCAGTAAGTACACTCAATATTTTCACACACACACACACACAAACACAAAGTCTGTCAGTGTGTGTCTCACCTTGTCCGGCCTCTTGTACACAGCTGGCCACTGAGAGCTTTCATCAAAGTAGAGCAATATGTTTTGACAGCATCGGGACTTTCAGTGAAAAACAGGCATAGAGGGAGGGAGAGAAAGACAGGATAGACAGATGGATAGATAGAGAGAGGGGGAGAGATTAATACTTGAACTGTCTATGCCATCTAGAAACTTAAAAGATGTATTGGATCTATATAGAGAATGACTGACATAAAAAGAAAGAAGAAAGGCAGAGTCTGACAGCATCATTTAATCTTCAAACTTTGTAGAATTTTTTGGTTGTTGTTGTTTACAGTGTTCTTGTTTTGTTTATTAAAGCAATAAGCCCCAAGAAGCCATGGTTTACAGTGAATTTATAACAGTTAAAGGGCGTTGTTAGGCACGACGTGAAGCGGAGTTCACGGGGCTTATTGCTTTTATAAAACGGTTATTCCATATACGTAGTAAGGTTTCACAAAATAAAACAGAGCAAATAAAGTATAATGATATTAATAAAAACAGTATTCTTCCACCAAACAATGTAGTTCCTCAGAATCAGTTGTGGTTGCAACAAAGTGGTTGCCAAGCAACAGACAAACGTAAACAAAGGTGTATATTTGTAGAGTAATTTACAACAGCTTCGAACGTGGCTCAGCCAATCAGAATCAAGGACCGGAACTATCCGTTTTATAAAACATTATAAGGAGTTACCAATAAGGAGTTACCCAAAAAATGTGTATTTGTAATGAAAACAACTAAACCAAATTAAGATTTTAGGCAAATATTATATGGACGTAATGTGGAGAAATACTGATATATAGAGATGCATAATATTATAATTCTAGTCAAATCAATGTCAATTATTATTTTCATGTAATAGGCAATAATAAATAAATAAATCCAACAATAACTGATGAAACTGATAAGTGTGGTACTGATATATTATGCATCCATGAATGTATTAAAGATTTAGTAGAACATCAGTAATCTGGTCTTGAGTAAAAATTCTTTAGTCTTACCTTGGGGTATCGGAACTTGAAGTTCAATCGGCCAAAATCAGTCAGGAAGCAAAACCTTGTGAGGAAAACCCAGTCCTGTGGAGAAAAGGGGAGGTAACAGAAAGGAATCGAATAGGTATATAGTGGCTGTGTCTGGATGGTAACCTTCACTCTGAGGACAGTCTTGTGGGATTTTACTAGCGACATTCATGCGCTGTTTATTTGGAGTCCTGCAGCAAGCATACACCTACCCGCACCCGCGCTAGCAGCAAACACGAATCTCATGAAACTTTCACAGAACGGCTTCACCATCCAGACATGACATCATTTAGCAGACAAAGCACCTTACAGTACATTTATTAGAAGCATATTTCCCCTGGAGCTTGCTCAATGACACAATAGTGATGGCTTAGAACTTGCTGGGACTGAACCAGTCCCAATCTTCTGCTTCCAAGCCCTGAGCTTTACACCACAAAAATTCATAAAATCAAACTTATCTCCAATAAGTCTGATATAATGAACTGATAACGGTTTAAAAATCTTCATATCACATTATACTGTAACAGTTGAATGGGTAATAAGTTCCTGCAGTGTTCAGGGCTTCAGTCTGGTCTCATCTCAAACACTCTCTTGAACTTAGGCCGACAGACACACGCAGTCAGTGAAGTGTAAAATGGCACTAAGGCCCAATCCCAATTCTATTTTATACCCCTTCCCCTTGTCCCTTGAAACAGAGTGTCAAGGGGTAGGGGTGAAAATATTCCCCTAAGAATTGGGACACCACTACTATGCCGTCACACGTCATCATACGTCGTCTAGCTCCTACAATACACACACCTATACTGGTGTGCTGCTGAGCATTAGAGCCTTTAATTATCGTTCTATATTAATGCGCTGCTTACTGACACACACACACATATATAATTTTCCAGCAACGAGAGGATAAAATCGCTGTTTTTTAAGTAAACTCACTCTAAAAAGAAAAACACACAGATGCGCATACACGCAACTTTCATCTCTCTCTCGCTCTCAATATTTGAGAAAAGGGTTTAGCGATTTCTAATTATTGGGGGGACTAGCCCCCCTCAATGTCTACGGTGGTTATCGCCCTGATCAGACATGAAAATATGTTGTGGCGGCACTATCGTGCAGTCTATAATGATATGACGTTAGTTAGCAAATATTAGAGATTTTTTGCAAACATTTCTTTGAGTAACATGACCGTAAATATGAACTCACGATTGATTGTAACATAAAACAAATGATTACTTTTCGTTAAAATCTTTATTAATGCCAAAAATGCTTACATTTAAGTGTCTTTTTGTTCGCTCGGGCAGCCATGTTGCCCCTGAAGCCGGTTTACGCTGAGATAATTCATACCCCTTCGTTTGAAGTGTGGTCCCGAAAAATCTTCGTTTGAAGGGCTGTCTGGCCCTTCCCCTACCCCTCCAATCAAAAGAGAATTGAGACACCCCTACCCCTTCACGTGAACACGCGAAACGGAGGGGTAGGGGAAAGGGGAAGGCGCAGTCAGTGAAGTGTGGATTGGGCCTAAGTGCGCTCCAGCTTTCAGCCCCTTGTCCATATTAACTTCTCCCTTCAGTGTCTACTGCTGGTGGTTTCCATAACAACAGGTTTCCTTGACAATACAGACACTAGCCCTAAGACTCTCTGACCCAGAACTGAGCCCAAATAACCATTAGGAGCCAGGCTTCACATGACCGAACTTCTGAAAGACCACCTTGTCTCTCTAAAACAGAAGCGCATGTAAAAGAGCACCTATGGTCAGTCAGCCAGTTAAAAAAAAACACCCACTCAAAAAAATCTCAGTACTATTGTCATGGCAACGGACACATAATGCACTTTGCAGCTACTATAGAAACCAGGAGAGGCCCGACTCTGTCTAAACCCCTTAAATGAACGACTGTCCTCAAATCCCACTTTTTAAACTTCAAAAACATTTTTTTCCTTTCTTTCTGACCTTGTTCACATTCCCATCTGTCACATTTCCCATGTGATTGCACAGCCAGATCTATTTTTTGTGAGAAATATTCTCTCTCTTTTATCTCATGAACATGAGGTGGTGAAATACCCAGGGTTCAGTACAAGTTAAGCTAAACTGAGGGAATTTGTATTATAATGTTGCTTACCTGAATAAAAAAACTGACTTATCCTTCATTTTCTTAAAGAAAAATCTGAATTATACGGTGGCATTTAAAGTGCAAGTGTATGGAGCCACAAAAAAAAAACTATTTTAAAAGTATAGCCACTAGAGTGCTTGATATTAGAGTAAAAAAATGCTTACCAACCTTTTCTTCAGTATGTAAAGTTATGTCTAATTTTACTACTGCTATTGAATTCACTCATGTAGATTTTTATGCAAAGAAAATGAAAGTTTTTAGGTCATAAAGTTATTTTAAGCAGTTTTTATAGCCTGTGTTATACATTTATGCATAAATGTATTGTTCATTCATTTTCTTGTATTTCCTTCATGTTCATTAAATCGGTGTGATGAAATCAGTGCTGCAATAACTTTTTGCAGCACAGTAAGTCTCATAGTTTGTGAAGTTCAGACCAATATTTACTTGTTGCACTGTGTCTATCAAATAATAGCCAGTGGATCCCATAAGGCACAATGCAATCAAATAATTCACCCAACAGCTATAAAAATGAAGAATGTGAAGTTCATTTTCTATGTAAATTTACATCCAAATATACTATTATGTAGCTATGACCATGTAATGTTATAATGAATGTAAAAATTATGATTTAAAAAGTTTTACAGCTCCAGTAATACACAAGTACAACAATATAGCACAACAATTAATGTAAGTGACTTACTTTTTTAAAAATGACTTCATATTTCTTCTTTTAAACGAAAATGAGTCCAAACTATTTTATTTATTTATTTATTTTTTTTAGATCAACATTACGCCACAAATGCTGTTGACTGAGCTTAATTTGTATTGAAAGTGAGGATTGAGACAACTGTGTATTTGTTTACGAGGGTAAACTCATACTCGTATAGCGGCTGGCTGCACAACAGAATGTGTATGTTGTGGTGCAGAATGGGCCATAAAAAGTGTCACTATTAATCCCTGCCATCCGTCTTTTCCCCCCTACAGATACTGCATTGTAATACAAAGTCACTGAATCAGCCAAAGGGAGGGTGAGAGACATGGCACACAGACACTACATTAATCAAGCACTATACCCAGATGCAGTATCCGGTCACTTCACTGAATCAGTGGTGGCCTCACCTCTCACGGTCTTTCCAGATCTCTGTCCGCTCGCTAAGCCTCATTAAGAATTAATTACCAATCAACTAGTCATGTCACCCCAGGTCCACTGGGCTTTTAAATGATTCATTACTTAAGTTACACAATAGCGCACTGCATAAATACACTCACATGCGCTGACACACATATACACTAACACACACACACAACACGTTGACCTGAATGCCCCTAGAAAGAGTCTTATACGCCTGGGGCAGTGTTAGTTACCCATAGGCGGTTTCCTGCACAACCCTCTGGCCAGACTCGATTTAGAGGAAGGAGTACATATGCACACACACACACACACACAATACATACATGCACACACACACACACACACACAATACATACATGCACACACAATACATAGTCAACTTAAACTAAAACTAAAATTGAAACTATAAAAAAAAAACATTTTTGTTACTTACAATAAAATAAACTTTAACTGAAATAAAATATAAAACACTTTTTATTTCAGCTAGTTCAGCTTTTTATTTCAGCAACATTTCTCATTTTTACCAAGTTTAACTTGATATACTAAAATAACTAAACTGATTCAAAATATTAAAAACTAACACTGAAAAAGGGCCTGACAAGGGAGAGGGGGCCCGATGATTCACACAACGAAACATCTTTAACTTGACAAAACCTCCCAGTAATGTATAAAATGTGTGTATGTGTGAATGTGTGCATGGCAGTGTAAAAGAACGACCTTGTAAGGAAATAAACAGAAGTGAGATTAATGGACTGTTTAACCATCTCATATAGCGACCCAAAATAGAGCAGGATCAGCACTTGAATAAAAGCAGAAACAGGTTGTTGTTACATTACCCACAGCAAATAGAGGGCAGGACTCATCTACAACTGCCAACTTTAATTGGAAGAGACAAACACATACTTTATCATAATAATTTAATCACTGAACTCATTGTATAAACATCAACATTAGTCCAATCAGAAAAAAATAAGCTGTATATGGAAGCTTTTAAGTGCTAAAAGTCATTTTAAACAGTTCTTTATAGGCTGACTATGCTTTCTGAAATGAAATGTAGTGTTCCCTCGTTTCTTTGAATTTCCCCCATTTTTGTTCATTAAATCAATCTGATGAAATACGTGCTGCAATAACTTTTTGCAGCAAAATCAGTCCCACTGTTTGCTTAAGGCCAATATTTACTTTGTGTCTACCAAATAATAGCCAATGTTTCCCATAAGGCACACTGCAATCAAAATCACCCAGCAGCTATTAAAAATAAAGAAAATGACGTACGCCAAATAAAGACACTTAAACAGCAATAAATGACTCAAACAGTCTATTTCCAAGTGAATTTTGTGCACCGAGTTGTCGACGCATATCGACACACATCACACATCATTGCACCTTTAAAAGCACAGCTAAGCAACCCTAAATCTGTTTGGACACCAGCATGCGATACCTGCAACTCCACAATGCTGTAATGACAGCATAATACACAGAAGAACATCTTGGTCGACACACACCTGTAAAAGCTGATGGGAGGGTGTAAGTTGGTTGTCGGCAATACGCCTTTTAAAACGTGTTTTTCTTGACTGGAGGACGAATTAAGCTTTCATCGGCTCAATAGCGGCGAGTGTAATGGTTTTGGCAAAGCATATTAAAGCATCAGGCTTCCAGATGCGCGCGAACGCAGAGGCGTGAATACAGCCTTGCCATAAGAGCCCATTAATAACAGCCACCAGGAGATGCGCAGCAAGAACGCCGGAAAACTCCGAACCATTACCAGCACCACAGTAATAAAACGTAAACATTATACTCGCCTCTTTTGTGTTGACGATTCCTCTGACGTATTTCCCCAAAACCGAGCCGACACATAATATACTGGACACCACGGCGAGTCCTAACACTTTCTCCATCTTCACCTGTCCACCGTAGCGTTTCTGCGCTCTCCTTCCGATATTGTGTGAGCAGGAAGGCTGGCGGAGATCTGCCTAGTTCTGCCAGACGCGCGTCCTCGTTCTTCGCCTCAAACGCAAGCATCCCCAGAATCTTCGCCGGGAGCGCGCATAGTATCGCACGCGCTCTGCTAGGAAAGCGTGAAACGCGCGCGGCCGATATTTTATTGCGACATAACATTACACAAATATGCATTTTTATAGATATAACCCCTTCCTTTACGGTTTTAATTCGTCTTATTAGTCATGTCTTTTGCTTTCTTTATTCCGCTACACTACAAAAAGCTAAACACAGAGATGCAGAGAAAGTATTTATTCAAATATAAATCAACACAGGGAAAATACATACTGCAGAAAATACTCTCATTTCTCACTGTAACATTCCCATAGTCCTCACAAGTCTCTAAAATATTATGTCAAGAAAAAACAACAACTTATAATTTATAAGAGTATAATTATGGTCTCTCTATACAATAAATGTCATCTATGCATATACAGTACATTCCAAATACACAGGTTTGCACTTAGGGTGTCTTTACATGAGGAATAACAACAACAATAACAAGAATATCAATAATAATAATTATTACTATTACTAATATAATACTAAAACTATTATTGCAATTATAATCATGATAATTAATAATCATTTTAATAATGAATAATAATTATTAAAAATAAATCACAATAATAAAGAAAACAACTCTCAGTCCACAAATGTCTGAGGACAGCTGAAAGCTCCCTCACATGCCACCCTATATGCTGCTGTTTACACTACTATAAAGTGCTTATTTGCTGAGATTGTCCTGAAAACATCAGGTCTGACTGAATGCAAAAAGTTTGCCTGGGACATACAGTGCAGTCCTTCAGGATTTTGTATCACTCAATGACGGCAGTGAAAATGAGGAGAGAATAGACATCAGCACCCTCGCAAATGATACTGCAGTGGTCATTACAGCCTGCACTTAAAGTGCGTAACATCACCGTCTGTGGACTTCAAGAGGACAGGAGCTCAAAACCACTTGCAGCAAATCCATTCTGACACAACGAAACTCCAACCTACTGATTAAAACTCCAAGTCAGTGACAGATTGACTATTAGTCTTCAGAACAGATGTAAAATGCAATGACATGACTCAGTGGGCTGGTGCCTCTGAGGGGAGATGATGCAACACAGTTTCGCCTCAGTAACACAGGTATGGTCATTTAAACAGAGGACTAAATTAACATGGTGTTTTATATAACACCCTTGAGATGAATGAGTAATCTCTCTCTGAGGTAGGCAGTTTGAGAGTCCCACACACAAAAAAAAGTGGAAAACAAGGTGGAAATACTCAGCAGTGCATTCAAGGTTACATTGTCCAACCAAAAAAAAAAAAGGCTTAATGAGACAACTCGACTGGAACGGATAACCAGAGGGCGTCAGAGTGTCTTATCGTTCCTCTCCCAGTTCTGGTTGTTTTAGTCATGGTTCCATGAAAGGACTACACACAATGGCCTTCACATCTACAAGCACAATGGCACTGAGAAGCTTTTCCATGCACAACTAGAGCACAAAGTGCGACAAACAAGTTTCTGAACACAACCGGCATGCACATACAGAACCAAACTGACTGAAACATGAACCAGCTGACAAAAATACCCAGAAGCACAGATGACTAGACATGTGTAACATACGCACTCCAACAAAAACGGCAGAGTAACCAAGATTTGGTATTTCAAATCTGTCACCAGAAAGGAACAGCTCTGACACGGTGAAAAGAGCAAGCAAGCAAATCTTTTTATATCGTGACTCTTATAAACCAACTCTCAAATGCTGCAATCAGCAGTAGATGGAGCATTGTTTACTCTCAGCAGATAGTTCAGGCTTAATCCAATCATAGACACACCGATAAAAAAGAGGCCTTTGATGGGAATATATAAAGTCCCAAAAGACATGTCGGGCTGTGCCACTTAGCTGAGCAAATCTTATAATGACAGCAAGTGGAGTTATAACTGATCGTTGTTTCAATAATAAAGTTGACAATACTTTAAATAGGATATGTGCGCTATATAAACACACTGTGGGAGTTCAGGCCACTGTCACCCAGCAAAGCTGTGCACACAAAGGCCCAATCCTCCCATACAGCACTAATAAACTTTATGGCAAAACATTGGCTATTTTTTCGGAGACTCAATAGAGTCAATTAGTGCCTGAGAAAGAGGCGACCTGATTCAAATAGAGACATGCTTTCACAGCGGTATGTATCACACATGTGCAGACTGAAAGATTTCATTGGCTCAAGGTTGCTGGGTGTTGAGGGAGTCTGCTTAAAATACCTCTAGGACGGGCTGGGTGAGAATTGAAGAGTGCACTCAAAATGGGTCAGTGTGCACAGGGACAGACGATACGATTGTTAACAGAGGGAAACAAACTGACTGAAGAAACAAGGGATATGGAAAAATAACAGAAGCTTGCATTGACATGTCAGAGAACGACCAAGAGGGAAAGGCAGTGATAGAGAGGTATAGTCCATGTTTTCTTCCCCCTCTAAGCTCTTGTCCAGTTTTCAAATCAGTATGTATATATATAAATATTCTTGTGTTTTTGACAAGTAATCTAATCTAACAGATAAATGTAATTATAGTATGATTATAATGAACAAACAAATCTTAATCAAATTATGCCACTTCAACACCACTTGAAACTTAAAAGGGAAACTCATCCAAATAATGCCAATTCTGGCATTATTTACACACCTTCGTGTCATTCCAAAACTGTGAGTTTCATTGTTTTGTGTTTTTGCCCATGCAATAAAAATCAATGTGGTTCCATGTTGGTTTTCTTTGGACCCCACTGGTTTTCATTGTTTGGACAAAAATAGCTGAAATGTTCTTCAAGATATAATCATACAGCCATACAACACAAGTAACACTATATCACAAATTCGGTGTCGTGTTTTGTGTAACTTGAGCTTTCCTTCCACAGAACACTTGTGGAAATCTGATCATGATTCATTGCATTTAATAATCATTGAACTCTATGAGGACAAAGCAGCATCAGAAATCCCATTCAACTGCTACCCACACAGGACATCCTCTAGGAGCCAAGAGGCAGGTCGATTAATAAAGGGTGATTAACATACACAGTAACACCCTATTATAATTCGGTGTCATAAATAATTCAAAAGCTACTATAAAGAAAAAATTCAACCATTAATGTTAGCTTTTATGCTTTTTTTATGCTTTTGTCAGTTAGTCCCAGTATGCCTAGCAGCAATGCATTCTACGGAGTTTAAATTGTAGCACACAGGTATTATATTAAATCACAGTTTGTAGACCGATTTCATTAACATATAAGAACAGTTAGTGCTATAAGGAGTGAGGTTTGGGTTTATACATCCATTTGTAATGTCTTTCAATGACGATTATGTGCTGGGATGTTTCTGTACACGGCAGGATATTAGTTTTTGTGCTGGTATAATGCAACAAAAGGCAAGGTGGTAAATATGTAAAGGGAGTGCATGTTTATGCAACCACATCTGAGTAATAAAGCTTGAGGTGTTCTAATTTGAACTTTAAACTAAATACTTAATAGTGTCTTTTCATAAGTTTTCATTTAATAGCTGGTTAATTCCTTTATTTTTCTCTCTAGACTCTTATCCACTATAATAACGGTGTTATTCAAATAATATGACCTTACTCCAACCCACATGTATCTCTTTTGGTATCATTCAGAACGGAACCAGGCCCAAATCTAAGCTGGAATCTTTTCAGCTTCAGATTTAGTGGGAGGGTAAAAATCAGCAAGCCCATCCTCATTCACAACAGGAGCCCCTCCTATAACAAATAACCCCTCCTCCTTCTGCACGACCTCTTTCAAAAGCTGAGTGTGGTCTCTTTTGGTAGCAGAAGGCTTCTGGTTGGTCCGTTCCAGTTTGCGGTGCTTGCGCAGCTCTGGGGGAGGGTCTTTCATGGTGAAGACATCCCTGATTCGCTCCATGCATACGTTAGCAGCTTCCCGAGTCTCCCTCGAGAGCTGTGACAGACTAAGGAAGCCATGAGGAAGGTCATCCACGACACATAGGGTCACTGGCTGACCGACATTTCGCAGCCTTTTGGCAAACATCACAGAGTCGTCCAGCATGGGGTCCAGATGACAGGCCTGAAAAAAGAGGGATGAGACAGATGGCAAAAAAAAGAGTCTCAGACACAAGACAGACAAAATAAGAGTTTATGACATGAATGAAAACATTTGAAATCAGCAGTGGTGTAATGTAACGAAGTAATTTACTTGAGTTTTTATATTTCAGCCAACTTTTACTTTTACTCCACTACATTTCCTAATTAAAATGTATACTTTTACTCCGATACATTTCCCCGAAGCATATTCGTTACTTACTATAAAATAGTCAGAAGTAAGAAGAACATGGACTGCAGGAAAGCAGGTTTGACAAATCAGTGGTCTTGCGATTGCAAGTTAGACTCCTAAAAACACCTTTGCTCATGTGCAAACAAGTGCGCGCACAACCGCAGATGATTAATTTTCCACTCAAGTCGAGTCTGGGGTGTGCGATACAGCATTGTCTGCGATAATATGGTAAGTGTTGTTGTAATGATGTGTGATCTGACATTTTCAAGTAGGCTATATCACCAGATCACACACAGAGTGCAAGCACATTGATTTATTAGTCTATTAAAACTCAAAATTCAAGGTATTCTAAATTGTAGACGGCAAAAATGGTTCTGTATGCTTTTTATATTTATATAATTTAATATAGTTTACTTAATCTATATCACACAAAGAGTACCGTTTTTCTGCAGATATCAGCATGAACACATTTAATAATCTTTTTATTCAAGTTCAGTAAAGCAATAAGTGACTTACATTTAGACATAATATTGCTTGTTTTTGCTAAATTTTGCCAACGAAAATAGTTCCAAACAAAGGTCAGACTATTTTTTTTCATGTTTTAAATTATTTCAAATATCAGTATTCAACGCTTTATGTTAAAAACAAAACATTAGGCCTATTTATGCATCTGTAACTGCAGTTTAAATGCATCCATGTCCCCTCTGAGATACATAAACTGTGTAAATACATCTAAATGCTATTTCAGATGCAGATTCCAGTAATGTTTTCTTATGTTGGAATGAAAGACACTACCGGATGAAGTGCTGCAGTTTTCTTACCCAAAAATACAAAATGGAAGAAAGTGTTAAAACTGAACACAATCTTGCTACTTGAGCTGTGTATGAACATTTTATATATATATTTATTTGCTTTTTTTCCATTTTGCATTTACTTGTACTTTTACTTGAGTATGGCTTTATACACCACTTGAAATCAGTTTCTCTTCCTGAAAATTATTCCACCATCTTAAATTCTTAAATTCATCAATTGTAAAAGACTTTGGTCACACTTACCACTATGTGTATGGGAGGTAGTCCCCTTAGCATGCTGTCTGGAGCCAGAAGGGGGGACATGTAGGGGTTTCTGACAATGGGAGAACTCTGCATGTTCATCTCTGCTAATTGCTCTGACCGCAGAGGCTCAAAGCCCTCTGGAAACTCCCGGGGTTTCTCAGAGTCCTCCTCACCACCAGGGGGCGGAATGGCCACAGATGAAAAGGATTCTGATACTGAG